GCAGGAAATGTAAATCTGATCATCAGACAAGCTTTGAAGCATCTGTATTCAATTAATGAAAGAGCAGACACCTGCAGGGAAAGCTCATTTATTTTCCAGGAAGGAAACTTTTCAAAGGAGGCAAGGCAGCCTTCACCATGGGTTTATCTTCTGCTTGTGTCAAGCAAAAGTATTCAGACCTTCCACCCTGGCCCAGCTTACTGAAACAAAAGTGCATGGAAACTGCAACCAGGTGGACAACCCAGGTGGAGAAATACAAATTAACTTTAGACTGCTAAAGGTCCAAAGGATGTTTCTAGAAGCTGGCAAATGATTTACAAAAACTAAACATTTAATCTATAATGAAGTTTTTTCATATTCAGAACTGAGCAATTTGCAGTGAGTTTGATGTGACAGAGGACAAGTTTTTGTCTGAGCATGCCACAGGCAAGACTTACTTCTCAACTCAAAGATGCTTTCCATATTCTTATTTTTAAACTTCAGTGGCAAAGGTTTGTCCATTACTGCAATGATTCATTAGTGAACATGTAGTGAAAAGCGAGTACAGTTTTCAATAGCACCCTGAACTAAAGGGTACATTGGTAGCTGATGGGAGAACCAAAAAAACCAGAGGAAACCTACTTAGAATCCATAATGCATGGAAGTTAGAGCTTCACTTCTACAAAAAACTGAACTGAAGAGGGTGGAAGGGAGGCTAGGGAATGAGCTCGATGTGTTTCTAGAATTACAGTGGTGCTGCCAACTAGTGCATTAAAGCATCACCAGCTGATTCAGAGAATTAAGTTTGGAAGTACAGTACTTTACACTGCAAACTAAACCTCATGGGATGCCTGGATACCCACTTGCCCCAGCAATTACCTTGTTGTCAGATTTTGTGTCCTGCGTCCTGTTATCCAGTAACAGTTTCTGTCGAGCTAAATGTCCTCTGAAAGCTGCCTGAAGTGTAACAACTGCCTAGGGAGGAAAGAAAGAAGTGGACATCAACTCCTTTGAATGATGGCAACTATAAATCAAGAGTCCAGAGGGAAGAGGTGTCCAGGGAAAAGAGCTTTTCCCTGTGCAATGAAAACTCCTTGATGTCTTGACATTTTCTTATGTTTAAGGGGTACACACACGTCCCCATCACTTCACAGGTACTCTGCTGCAATCCAGAGAATCCCCAGCCTGTGACAGCCCACAGACACACACCTTCATGGTTTCAAGTCAGTCTGGGAGGTGTTCACATTTGATCTTATCAAAGCAGTTAAGCTCTAGCTGCCAACATGTGCCTGTATTTCACAAACACAGCAACTCACCCCATTCCTATATTAGATTCTGGCCACCCAGCAGGCTCTGTGATGCTCTGGTACAAATGGACATCAAGGCAAGGCTGGCAGATCACTGTGGTGACTATGCTGAACTTAAGTCTTTCCTCTACTCAGAGATTTTACCAGGTTCTCACCAACAAAAAACATCTATATGTAAAACAGTATGTTTGTGTCACATGGTTAGAATTTGTTCTAATTTCTGAAAGGAGGATTTTTAACATTCTGGAAGAAACAAATATAAGATGCTACACTGTGCTATTTGAAAAAACAGTTTTAATCAAAACCTTTGTGCAAAACATTTATTAAGATGTCACGAGTTTAATAGAATCATAGACTGGTTTAGGTTGGAAGAGACCTTAGAGATCATCTAGTTCCAACCCCCACTACACCAGCTTGCTCAAAGCCCCATCCAGTTTAGTCTTGAACACCTCCAGGGATGGAGCACCCACAACTTCCCTGAGCAACCTACTTCAGTGTCTCACTACCCTCACAGTGAAGAAGTTCTTCCTAATTTCTAATCCAAATCAACCCTCTTCCAGTTTGAAGCCACTAACCCATATCCTATCAATACAACTCTTGTAAAAAGTCCCTCCCCAGTTTTCCTGTAGGCCCCCTTCAGATACTGGAAGGCTGCAATCCCATCTCCCCAGAGCCTCCCCTTCTCCAGGCTGAACAACCCCAATCTCCTGCCTGTCAAAGTCAATTTCTTCAGAATGCTCAGAGACATTTCTTCTTGGCAAAGGCTTTAAACTTCCACTTCAAACCTTTCTGAAGACTCATCATAGTGAAAATGAAAGCATTATTAGAATTACCTAATAAAATAAAAACTTTTCTGCTTGTATCAAATTTTGTTGAAAACTTTCAGAAGTGCTCATCTTGCAGAAGGCCCCAAGTACAGAAAATTGGAGACCAAAAGCAGAACACTTTGACATGATGTATCAAACAAAACTAGGGTGTCAGAAAGTAGATCATGAGCCAGCCTGAAGAATAAACATAATCTTTGTACAACAGTTCATATTACAATAAAATCTCTTTAAAAATAAAGTTACTTATTGTGCTTTCATACCAATTAAACCCGTTTTAGTTTTGTTGGGTGTCATAAACACACTCACCTCATCCAAAGCAATTTCTTCTTTCTGAAATGAAATAGGTCTAAGTTAATGCCACAAATATATACAAGTTTTAGCTAACAAAGATTTTCTGAACTTCTCCCAACAGTTAAAACACACAGAAATACCTGTCTCACCCATCCCTGAAAACTCAAACAACAATCTTAACAAAAATCTTTGAAAAATGTGTGGATAGTTCTTTTGTATTTAGCTTCCCAAGAAGCATTTACAAGACTCACCTCACACCATATGTCCTATACATGCAAAAAGCAGTATTATGTTGTTGCCCATCGAATAAAAGTTAACATTTTTTTCTAGAGCATTTTGCCCTAGTTGAGTGTAACTCAATACATGAAATTTCCTGTATTGTTTGGAGGATTTCTGCAAGGGGAATTTGACTTCTCAGCCATACTCCAAGGAAGCAACTGCAGCAGTACTGCTTCAAACCCTCCTGTGCTTCCTTAGTTCTCTGCTCACCTACCCCCTGTTCAGAAACTATCTCACAGCAGAGACAACCAGGTTCTGGAGAGCAAAGGTAAAAGCAGCAGCAGCAGAGTGGACTTGAAAAAAGCAGTGGCAGAGAAGATGGTGGTGGTAATGAACTGCACTGGGAAGCACTGCTGCAATCCCTCGAGCCCAGCACCAGTTACTGTAGATGCTGAAACAAGAGTATGATTCAGAGTGGGATGTCCTCACTGCCCCTCAGTAGGAGAATCTCACCTTATTTTGGTACATCCTCCACTGTCTCTGGATGATTTTGGCTGCTTGTTCCTTCCTGTGATCTTCCTTGCCTTTAACTGTGCAGACTGGTGAAGACTGCAAAGCAGAATCTTTAACTTAGCACACTAAAAACACAAGCTGGAGTTCTGTGAGGGAAACAGGTTACAAATGACTCAGAAAATCAGCACCAGAGTTGTTAAATGTTCTTCCTGCCTGAAAGGGTGGAAGTTAAAGTAGAAACTCTTAGTTCTGAATACTGCTCACATTCAGACTCATCATCTAGAGGACTGTTACAGTAAGCACATTCCTGTCCCCAGTGTAGCTGTTAGCAGAGCATGGGAATGGGAAGGTTTTCATCCACACACTCCTATTTTTCTATGCATTGCTAAAGCAATAGGAGCTCCAACTTTGATCCCACTGCTTTGTTGATTGGAAATGGTTTGCATGTTATCGACAGATTGAGAACAAATGTCAGGATAATTAATTCTGCAATTCTTCCCCAGGAAAGACTAGTATTAATTAACTAGGGAGCTCTCTCATGTCTCATCCTGGCAACTGTGACCCTATAATCATCTATTTAAGCTTTGATGAGTTGGCCATTATATGACACTGACAGAGAGCTTGTGTAAACTGGCATAACTCCACTCTTCTGTCTTGTAGAAGTCAGAGGAAAAGGAAAGAAGCCAAGAACAAAACAAGATTTTGTTCCAGTTATTTCTCTGAGGTGTGGCTGCATATTCCACCTCTCACCATCTGACCCTTTTGATCCCTACTTATCCCATACTAATTGTCATACCTCACTTGCCAAACCAAAGTTAACTGCAATTTTGAAAGACTAATTTAATTTGTTGGTATAAAACTCTTAAGCAGAGAAAAAAAGAGATTTTATAGACTCTGAAAAAAGCCTTCTTGATTCTGTGAAAAGGATTTATTTATAAACTAAAATGGCTGAGTTACAGGCTTAAGTTTAGCAAATGGATCATGTTATATTAAAAATGACAACCTACTATTAAAATGAGAAATTGGTAGGAACTTAGTGATAATTACAAATAATGGGAATATTTCAATAAATGGCTGGTTACTTGCCAAGTATATATATAGCCTGCATAGAAAAAAAGGAGCTGTTTGTTGGCTGTTTTTAAAGACTCAAATTATTTGGCATTCAAAACATCATCTAGCATCCATCAGCCTATAACACACAAAAGAATCCAAAGAATTGTACAATATATCAAAACTCAGCACTTTCTTAGGCTAATGAACATTTTTATATTTTTTACTACCTGTATTTCAGAGGCTATTTATAAATACAAATTATCAAAATCTCCAGTAATAATTTTCAACTGATTTTTAGTGAAAGGAGATGAATATGACCACACTGCAGCTGAAAACATGTCTGTCAGTGCCTGTTCACCTCCACTGGCCAGTTACAACAACATTTGGCAGAGGGACAGAAGACTGTGAAGACATCAAGTTCAGTCATATTTCACAAAAAAACCCCAACTGATTACATAGCCCTATTTCAAACTGCCCAGGATTAACAGATGCATCCATCTATTTATTAGCTACCAGAAAATCCAGAAAGAAGAGGTTATGGATACCTCAACTCTAGAAAAACTTCAGTTCAAAGGAGATCCAGGTTATTTCATTGTATTGATATCTTCCCTAATTCTTTACTCAGATATGATGTCCCATCAGCAGTGGAATTAAAAGCCCCTCAGTTTTCAGGATGATTAGTGCTCTGCATCCTGCAAGCCTTCCCATGGAAATGTACCCTGCTTCCATCCAGAAGGGTGAATGGCTATTTTCTGACTGGATGGTGTATGTGCCCTAACCTGACCAGTATAGAAATCACTACTGAAAATTATTTTGGCTTTTGCCAGTGAGCTGCTATTTATCTAAGGATAAAATTGGACTGAAATTAGCTAATAGGTTTAGATGTTATAAGAAGATGCATGCAAAACCACAAATGCCTTTTTTTCTTTTTAAAGGCAAAACCCCCAAGCACTTAGAAGTGTGAATTTTTTGCAACATTCTGCTGAGTAAGAAAAATAAGGTTGAGGCAGATAGTCACTAAGAAAACAGTGCCAAAAAAAACCCCAAGTTGCAGTGGTAATTACTGAAACAACTTATCAACAAATGCTGGGAATTAACCATCATTCAGAATCTCTATGACAAGATTTAATGCCTCTCTGAAAAAGACAACTAACAGCTATTTAGACTATCAATCAGCTCAATTTGCAACATATTAGATGCAAGGGAAAAAAATAAATCTCCAAACAACAAGATGTGTCTGTACCTTATTAAGCTTTTCCATTGTATCTTCTGCCATTTGTCTCTTCTCTTCCTCCAGTTTTGATTCTAGCTTCCCTACTTTCTGTGTCAGGTTCTGTATCTCTTCACTATGGTTGGAAAAGCAAAGATATTTATAGCTAGAAATTTTCTGTTGTACTGCTTTGAAAATACTGAACCTATCTCAAAACACTGGGTTACTTAGGGCTTTTTTAAAGGCTAAAAAGTGGGAAACTGCTCAGGATAACATAATATGTATTCTCCTAGTAACAGAGATGTAACATCAATTCTCAAGTTGTGATGGTGCAGCCTTGTGTTAAAATTAAAAAGTCCCAAGTTTACAGTGGTACCCTTGATAGTACTAAGGTGGCATCTAGATCTACTACAGTTTCATATTTGTCAAAGTCTTTTCTTACAAAGCAATAATGAAATCACTTTTTTTTTGCCACGCTTCCACAGGATTATAGTCAACAGTTACATAGAATACATGAAGTAAATGGAAGGACATATTTGCAATGGTCTAGAAGCATAGGCTAAGGTAAAGTCACTACAGTTTTTAATTAGAAAGACAAAACGTCCGAGCCCAAAAGGCACCTTTCTTTTTCCATTTATCTTATTAATTTTTATTATAACTTAATTCTTATTTTTACTATACTACTTAGTCTTTCACTTCCTCTAAAACCACTCTATAGAATTCTTCCCCTAGTAACTTACTCCACACCTTGGGAAACAGTTCTGCTTACATGAATTCCCAGCTTACTGCAGTCCATATGAACTCCTATGGATTTTGAGCCTCTTCAAAAGAGAATTATACTTTAACAGACTTCTTGTTCTGAAAGGATCTACTAATATAAAATATGATACCTGAAAGTCTGCTCTTCTGTACTCTTTTCTTCCACTTTATTCTGCCACTTCTGCAGCTCCAGCTCCACTTCAGCCTTAGCCTCAAGTAACTGCTTGATATCTAATCTACAAAGGTATAAGGAAATCCAAGCAATACTTAAGACATTCATGCTTCAAAAAAGCAGGGTTTTTTTTGTTTAAACTTCTAAATAAAAGAGGTTTTTCTCAAACTTGTAAAGTAACTAGATGTTTCTTTTTTCTTTTTAAACAGAATGAAATACAAGCACACATTGTTCAGAAGCAAAAGGCCTCTTTGGACACCCTCACTCTGCATTTTTGTTCTGAGGGGAGTTGCACAGGAGCCTGAGTCTCACGTCAACACCACAGTAGTTGTGTGCACAGCTCTACAGCTCTGTTCCTGACCAGATTCATCTGCCTGCCCTTGTGCACTGACACATCAAACGAGGCCAAGCAAATTACAAATCAATTGTTTACTGGGGAGAAAAGAAGACAGGGTGCATTACGTGTCAGAAAGCAGGTCTGAATTGATAAAGTTGATCAGTTGATCACAATATGTTGATCAAATTGATGAGAACATGTTGAAAAAAACCAAGACTTTTTATAGCAAAATACTTGCAAGAAGTGCTGTATGAAGTGACATACAAACTTTCAAGAAATCCTCTTCAAGCTGGCAAAAATAAAAACCACCTTGAGAAATGTGTTAGAAACAAACAGAAATTATCATTTTCCATCCTCTTGACATTTTTTCTGCAATGCCACCAGGACTAGAGGAAGCTTTTGAAATAAGAGCTGGAAGGACACTCAAAATTCATTTTCTTGCTGAAAACATGAAGGACTTACTACACTGTTTCATAAAGTGATAGGAAATAATTAAATAATTCACACCTACAGAAGAACATCTCAGACAAGAGCAGCACTTACTCTTTATTGAGTAGGAGATTTTGAAGTGCCTTCCTGTCACTCTTCAGTTTCTTCACTAGCCCTTGGAGGTGACGACACTCCTCAACATGGTCTAATTGTTGAGAGTTTGGATGATCCAGGTCTACAGAAGGTGAAGATGACACAGCAAGTAACTGTGATGATTCACTATCTGCTGATGACACCCTGGAGTTCTCCATGGCACATACTTTCTAAACAGGATAAATTTACACAAAAAATGCAAAAGAAAAAAGAAGAAAATTAAGTTTATCACAAAATTATTTCATTTAGGCCATGAGAACAGATCAAGTGGAAGTTAATTCTAAAATATGCCTCTACATGTAACAAGACAGAGAAGAGAAAAAGAGGAAGGGCAGATGATACAGACATTAATTTACATGTACAAGCCAGAATGCACAAGGCTGATACAATGAAGGACTACAAGCTGGTGGTTCTGCATCTTCTGCTCAGTGACAGGAAGGATGGCCACATGCTTACAGTCACTTACCTTTTCTAGTTCTGAAATCCGTCTCACCAGCCTCTGTCTGCTCCACTCACTGTAATCTAAATACAATGCTTTAATCATTAAACTGTGTCAGAGAATCAACACTGTTCTGCTTTTTGAAACTTCTGTCCATATAGAAATACCATCTAAAGACCTCTGAACCTCAACTTTAAATATGCAGCAATGAAAAAATTAGAATGGTCTTAAAATGTGTGACTTCTATACCAATTAGCTCAGAAATTAATATAATCTATTCACATTCACCAGTTTTCAACAACTGAAAAACAGTTTTCCAGTGAAACATTAAAGCTTCAAGTGATTACAGTCAAGAATTCTCAGGGATAATAATAAAGGAAACCCAGGTCTGACTGGAGCAGCATATCCAGAAGTCAGAGGGAGACTCTTGTAAGAAACTCCTCATTCCAACCTTTGCCCCTCCTGAATCTTCACCCTTGCAATAACTCCCCTATTTCTACCATTGCAGGGTATTGCTCTCAAACACATCTTTCAAATGCACCTAAATCCCTTGCCCCATGCTCACCAACTTTCCAACACATACTTTTTGTTTTACTGGAAGGAGGAGAACTGCTCAGGACATGATCCAGATCTTCTTTCAGCCTCCGATTCTCATTCTGCAATTCCTTGATGTTCCTGGATAGTCTCAGGACAGCAGCATTCAGTGCCTTCAGTCGGTTTTGGGTGTCTTTGCCCTCTGTACTTGGAAACAGGGTTGAAACCAGAAAGTTAACTTAAAAGCAGAGAACAAAGAAGCAGAATTAGAGTGGAATATCCTCACTATTCAAGTCAGCTGGCTATTTAACTGTTTCAGCAGCAGAATAAAGATACTTCAAAACTTTGAAATTTAATTTATTACCTTTACTTCCTCCTCAACTCCATTTCATTAACACATGAACAAGGATGCTTGGATGGGTTTTACTTGTCTGGTTTTCTATTTGTTTTGCTAACCAACCTTATAATGCTTTAGGAGCTCTCTGGTTTACAAACACTTATCTTCAGCCAGACTCCTCAAAAAAAACCTGTTCAGCACAGAAAGCTGACCTGTGTGCTCTGAGTTGCTTCCTTTCACTTAAACAGATTGAGATTTGGAGAGAGAGAGAGGACTATACATAGACATAATAACTCTCAAATCCAACACACAAGTGTCTTTTCAGCTAACTGTGAATGCTGCTCTAATCTAAAAGACTCTATTCCTGTGAAAGTGAACCCCAGAGAAATTTCTTTCTCCATTTAAGATACATTTCAATCAATGAGGGATTTGAAACAGATGTGAATAATATAGTTAACATAAACGTGATTGGAATAAAAGACACCAGAAAAGGTGAAGTCTGCTACGTGCAAAAGCTTTGAAATACATTGCAGTGATTTTGCCTTTATATTTTTTCTTAGAAAAGGGGGAAGGAATCTCAGCTTCTAGATGTGCAAAGTTATAAAGTTTGTTCACAAAACAGAATTCTAGTGAGATAAAATACTTGGTTTTTGTTGCTATGAGAAAATTCTTGAAAACTTGCTTCTGGAAATAAATGTCTGAAGTAGCTGTTGGATCTCCTTTTGGACTAATGCCACTGCCAGTGACAACCATGGAACAGTTTGTGAAGAAATCTTACATCTCATCCACTGGAATAGTTACAAGGTAAAGGGGGTGACAGTCTACAATTAGCATATCAGAGTGAAAATATGACACTAAACTTCCTTTTGGAAATGAAAAGGAACTGAAGCCATAAAGCCAAACAAATAAGGCTGTCCAGATATCATGGATAACTACTCACAGAGCTGACCCAGGCAGCAAGAATTAAAAAACAAAAAAAGAAGTCAACAAAACACACAACACCAAAACCAGGAAGAGGCAGAGATGGTAAAACTCACATCTGTGTCACTGAGTGTCATTATTTTAGGCTCATTAAAACCTAAATGAAAGAAATTCAAACTATTTTAAGGACTTAGAGGCTGCCTAGTTTCTAGCTACAACTGGACACTACAGCTTAATATATAAATAATCATATTTCAGCACTAGCACTGCAAAAGAGGAGCTAAATGCCATTCACTTCAGCCAGAAATAATGTAGACAAACATCGTGAAGGAAACACTCCCCTACAACATTATGTGTCAGAGCCCTGACCTTCAACATCACTTATTATTTCAGTGCTCAGCCTCTCAAGTAGAGACTGACAGCCACTTAATGGAGAGAGACTGCCCTGACCACCACTTTTTGAAGCTGTGAATAAATGAGGACAAGGAGGGGAACTGATGACTCATTTTCACCTGTGAATACATTTGGTGTGATGCCTTACAGCCTCGAGAGGCTACTCACTGCATGCCCAAGCCAAAGAGATGGCTTGATTTTTTTGAAAACAATGACAAAACAAATTGCAGTTTGCAATCCTCAGGAGTCAGTGAATTAGGGAAACACAAGTAGTATATACAATGACCCATACAGAGTTCTCATACTTTTCTATCAATCTAAATAATTATACCCCAAATTAAGACACTTGTCTGTACTTAACCTAGGAGGGTAAGCATATTTTGAAGTGGTGTGGTTACAAATTTTCCTATCCCACAAGACTACTACCCTCTTGTCACCTCAAGTAACACTCACACAGATACTTTTAATTTGCTCTCTTACTGGAGCTGGGTTTTGCCTTTGTGCTTTGACTTTCATTTCCTCTTTAGCCCATTTAACCTCACCACCACATAGACACCCACGCACCAGTGACAGGCATTAGCACAAGATTCTGACAGTGTCTGCTAGAGCCACTCATGGATCTCTCACAAAAGCTACCCTGATCTGCACATCTGTCTCTCTGTACCACAGGAAAATAATGTTCACTCCAAAATACCTTCTTTGCAGCATACATCCTAGACCAAGATGCAGAACTGACTCAAGAGTAAAATGCCAAACATCTTGTGAGTTCGTTCCAATCACCAGTGATGTCAGAATAGGTGTGATCACGGGGAAAGAGGGATTTTATTTATCAAAGATATATTTCCAGAGATTTCATGTACTTTTTAAATAGCTCTAGTATTTTTTCCACAGTCACTACATAATCTATCTACAAAAAAAAGTGGCTAAGACATATGCCAAGACTGTGAAGCCAACCAAAGCAGAAATAAAAATCAAATCCAGAAATCTAAATGACAAAACAAACCATTCCCCTGTAGCTGTTTTCCATCAGTTTAAATAGTATATGAGTGATATGTCAAACATATACACAACTATTTGCCTCAGTTGAATGAAACATACTTTTTCCTCATAGTCTCAGATTTTGCCAGGAGGAGCTGGAGACGATGAACCTGTGAAACAGGAAATACAGAGTCCATTGAGGGGCTAGCTGTGGGAGCTGACATCACTAATGCAACACATTCGTCTGTTAGGTGAAAATCAGAACACAACTCTTTGAGTAGTGGCAAAGGCAATGAGCCATCACTGAAAATCAGGCTACTGTTATATTTGCTTTCATCTAGACACTACACTTAGGGATGCACATTAGCTTCTTTATTTCCCCTTTTTGGTTAACACAACCAACTTACTGAAGAAAAAAGGTTTGTTGGTACATATGGTTG